GTTAAATTTCTGACTGGTTAAATCGACGACAATTAAGATTGAATAATCTTCGTTGGGAAAAGCTAGGTGGGTTATGATCGCAAAAAACTATTAAAAACGATGAAGATTTAAGCACAACTCATTGACAAGCTAAAATTGTACAGATAATGATCGCATAAGTAAGTATTGATTTCACGCAAAGATGAAAAACATTGAACCTGCCTAGTAACACAGTGGCAGTTATAAGAGGCTTTCATGTTCATACACTACTGCCTGCAAATCGTGATATAAAACAGTAATTCAGTCATTTGCTAAGCTTTCTCATTGCTTTTTACATCAAGTCTACTCAGTCTGTGGTCAGAATACTAAAAAGTGGTCATATTTTGGTCTATGGATGTATCGAAAAAATTTACCTTCATATAACGACCGAAATGCAAATATTCAATTTGAACGCGGAACTAACGAAACAAAATTTATTCGATTAGACCCGACTACGTTCTTCTGTATGGCGTACGAAGCGTTTTTGAGTTATTCATATTAAATTATATCAAACCACAAACTCTGTACACAAATAGAACAAATCATATGAAAAATACATAACACCTCAGACGGTGCAACCTGTGCTATACAGTCAAGGGTTTCTTTAACACATATTGGCGTGCTAAGCAACAAAGAAAAAATAGTTATTACAAAAGAGTTCAATATCTGAGGATCAATAAAAATATTCCTAACGAGATCAGATATCTATCTGCAGGGATTCTAGTAATCTTCCCAAGCAGACAGTCAAAGGTTAAAAGTCACACACCGAGCTACGCCGTGATCTTGGGCTTAGTCAAACACTGCCTTACTGTCAATATTCCGTCAACATGAAACAGAAATTAGGTAGAGAAGGATAAATCCTTAATCAAAATCACATGATAAAAGCTTAGGCGAGGAAGACTGAAGAACACAAATTCTGGTTAAAAGTGATCTGAATAAAGGTTAAATCACACGACGAGGAGATTAAACAAATCGATTATCTGTATCATCTCAGGGTTTGCTTTCGGATCTAATGAAGCTTGTGTCAATAACACTGGATATTCCTCTGGAGCCACTCGCAACTCGGAGAATGTGTGGTACTGCATGTTCTCCAAATCACCACACCTAGTCACACCATCATGTTCAGTCCGATACTTCAGTGTCAAGATACCATGTCTCGATATAGCCTCGTCTTCCACACAGTTTTCTTTTTAACCCATTCCCACCGTCACTCCTTGATGTCTAGGTCTTTCAACAATAGAGGGGGATACTGCTCTAGGAGCCGACTGTACATACAGAAAACCCACTGTCGATAACAGAGGCAGCAACGTATTCTCCAGCTATTTCTCTAGGTAAGGGAACAGTCCTGTAACTTTCATCAAAATAGGTGTCGTGCTCTTCTATAGTTGCCGGTGAAACCCATATTTATGCATGTTCTTTAATTGCTCCACAAAGTCATCAGTTTGAGGAATATAATTTACAATTCTTTCCTCATGTTTGTTGAGACCTGCTGGTCCAGAAAGAACTCAGTATTCTAGCAGCGTAAGGACTCTTTCTTTCACCTAATCTTTTATCCAGGACCCAATGCGCTTCACGCACGTCACAACCGATAGGCAACATAACTTCGACACCCACTAACTCTGGTCAAGGTGAAACCATAAGATGGGACAATTTTCTAGAGTTGTCCTTTGCAGGTTCCGTTAGTCTATGCACCGGCAAATCATCTACTACAACAGCTTGTTCAATACATATACATTCGTTTCTGTTTAATGAACAGGTTACTAAGGCCTTGGTTGTCGATCTGACAAACCTATTTCCACCTACCGTTTTGATAGTAATCGACTCACTCTCTGACTACAATCTTAAAATCCGTGCAGTGCCTGACTTCATTAGGGTAATATCTGGGCCATTGTCTAGGAAGGCATATCCACGAACATTCATATTCCCATCTCTAAGACGTACAGGGATTAAACCAAGAGACACATCCTCCATTAGCGACCCCGTGTACCCACAATGTATTTCTATTAATTGCACATTCAAAGCACCCTAATCTCTAATGGTTTAATGCAACAAACAGCGATGTCCATCCTGGCAACCCCCAATAGCAGACATAACACAATCTTTGCAATCAACTGATCTGTGACTTCTTCTAAGACAACAGAAACACAGACCCCTTTCTCTGACTTTTGCCCAGCGATTGTTGACTGCCAAAGTAAAGAACTGATAAAATTTATCAATCATATGACTTTCTCCGCATATAACACAAAGTGACTTGCTAACGATTTCACCGAATGACAACCCTTGTGTGGATCAAACTACGTTGCCCACAGCTTGTTTACTAGTTGTTGCAATCTGCCCGAATCTGCTGAGTAATATTTCTGCTCTACATGATAAAAATCCTGTCAACGTAGAAATATAGGCTCTCTCCCATTTCCTGTTACCTTACCGACCGTTTTAGCCCATTTCATCTGTAATCCGTGGGCAACTTCCATACTATGCTTTCTATAGTTCCAAGAGAGTTGAGCTCCGCCGAGTAGTCAATTTTTTCTGATGCTATAGAGCGATGTTTTATTTTTATTGCTAAACTAGATAGATTTTCACCATCGCTGTGTTCTATAATCGAACATTCAGTCGAATCTTTCAGCAAAGCCCAGCTTACTTCGTGTGTTCTATCAAACAACCGTTTTAGTGTATTCCATGCTCTATAGCAACCCGACGACGGTGGAAGCATGATGCATTCCTCTATGGCCTCTCGAGCCTTTCCTTTACAATAATGCAACATGAATAAGAGCAGTTGACCATCATCGTCGACCTTGAACACAAGATACAGCTAGAACTGTCTGATAAATGTCCAGTATTTTGCTGGCTGACAATCAAAACTATTTAGTTCAATTTTCGGAGGCTCAGGACACACTAAGAGATTACAAGGTCACTACTCTCTTCTTTGTTTTTGAGTCGTCGAACGTTTTGAATTTTCTGGAGGTTTATTTCTAAGACCGTGATGAGAATGGACTGCCAAACGGCGAATACACTTGTGTGTTTTGTCATTACAGTCGGAGGCAGAAGATACTTCACTACACTTGTCCTCTATTAGCATCTGAAGATACATCAGGTATTTGGAGTTTGATAACGCCTTAATCATTAACACCTATTATCAATCGTAACCACCAATTGAAATCAAAGGTCAGAAGCGAGGAGTTTCAAAGATACATTTGATAGGCTATCAATATATCGATGATCAACTGATCGAGACTGCCTAGCGATTGCAGGGGATGTTGAGCACGGCGTCCCCACTCGTTACCTTGTGCAGATGCATGGCCGAGCGCCCTCGGCTAGATGAGCCCAATAAAACTAATGCGGTCAGCATTAAATGTCGAAGACTTACAGAGCTATTTATTTCGGGGATTTATTTACAACTACACCTTAAACGCCTGAACACTCTCTGAAGGCACAGTAGTTATTTCCTTCTTCTATATTCAAGTCTTTAAATTCAAATAATTGCCGTCCTCCCACCTGTCTTTCTTTTAACTCTGGTAAAGTGATCCTAGAGCTGATTTCCACTAACTAAACTAACATTAGGGCCATGACATGAAAGTGTATCTTAAGTGACTTGTCGTACATTGAAAGGTGCATCTGATTGTCTTCTTGGCCCAACATCAGGCTTTCCTTGGCCTCCTTGTCGCGCTTTCCAGGCATTCCGACGTTTGTCACCCGTGATTACCGTTCGTTTGAGAACTGTAACGACCGGAATGCTAATATTCGGTCGTCGTAGTTACATTGGAGATTCATTTCGGTGAAAATAATTTTGCGTAGCCAAACTTCTAAAACCCTTAGCAAGCTTATTTTCAATCCAATGTGATAGTAGACTCTTGTTTTCAGAAACTTCGTTTCCACGTTATAGCAGCGACGTAGTACACTTCTTACTGACTAAGGGAATTCTGGGATGTACGCTTGGAAATGGTTCAGAATTCCGTTTGCTTTCTTTACATTAATGTCACCTCTCATCATTTCAACTACAACTCTGTCTAGCTGTTGTTTGATTGGTAGATGAACAGGTGGAGACATTTCGGAAGTTGCATAATCTGTAATTTATTAATAAAGAATCCTTGACTAGGCCGCCGACTGTACTGACTGTACACTGGACATAACTACATGACGTAGCGGCCGATTGTGGGGCAATACTGATACATTGCCCTGAAGCTACGGCGGTCAGTGGTTGCTAACTGATTCTTTTTATCAAACTCATCTCTTAACTTCCTCAACCTTCTGTAAAAAGTTGATTTGAGACAACCAATCAACATTAATTCTCTATTGGCTTTAGCCCGTCTTTTAGCACTTTTATTAAGCTCTTGATTATTAGTCTAAGAGAAACAATTAACTATAGTCCAACTGAAAAAAAGCATGGATCGAAATTTTGGACAGTACAAAAGATGGTTTTAAGCCGACGAATCATTGTCTTGTGTCTGTTTGACGTACTGATGACCAAAGTTCATGAAAACAATAAAAATAACATTTGTTAATTGTAATTTCATCTTCAAAGGTTTAAAAGTGCACTGATAATGAAACGTTCATCCGGGAAACTGCACAACACAGACTTTGGGGATTTCCCCAAAATTTCCCAAGAAATTTGACTCAAGAAGTTATATCTCCTCATTATTTCTTGCAGTAAAGTGAGAGGTCATCCGAATTCTGAACATAGAGTATTTAGAATGATCTCAAGTTACATTGACTTCATCTTTTACTTTGCAACAAATAGTCTGAAACGAGAGAATACAGCATGAAAATCCCGGAACTCGTGACATACTGATTCCTACTAAATAATTTATTTTCCGGACATATGGCCGGAAGGAATGAGGTTTACATTTAAAATAAAGGTCACAAAAGCCTGACAAAATGGACATATACACGCTGTTAAATTTCTATTCTCAACTTATTATGTGCAATATATATTGAAAAATAATTGATGTTGAGCATTATTGCACGTAATTGAATTTTGTGTTACGATGGGTGAGATTGTTGACGGAGTTCGTTTGATGACAACAGTGTGAGTCACGTTTTTCCACTTTAAATACTATTGTCAACCAATTAATAGTTTTTAGAGGTAATGAGTGTTTGTTACTCTTCGACCAGTGTTTGTCTACAGTTACTTACTTTCTTGCATTTGTCGATTGGTTTTTTGGAACAAACGGCTATCTTATTGTTTTACAATGTTTCAGTACAACCAGGTCGATTTATCACTACTCAAAGGTTGCCCATAAATTATAGTTCCACTACAAATCCTAGTAACTGGATTTATATTTAATGTTATATCAGTTAACAATAAAAGATTGTACTTACGAACGCTTCGCAATTACTTTTTATAAATTGCTTTCTAATGTGTCGTTTTTTTAATCTCTACTGTCAAGTTGATCAAATAAATCCTTAAATAAATGTTAAGCAAACCACTTTTTCTATCCTTTTATTCATGTATTCTTTAGTATCTCGGACACTTGTCTCTACATTTCTCTTTAATCTTCACAGTCATACATATATTAGTTGCATGAAGATTGGCAGGTATTTTCGCGGGTGGCAATTTTAATTTCTTGAAACTCCTTAACTCGTGTACATATTAACATTTCAAGAGGGAGAACCAACTCTCCGCACTCTTCGGGGACACATCCAGGCACCTGTCGGACGCGTCAATTTAATTTGAAGAATTAGTACCAAATTTCAAGAAAGTAACTATAATAATTCATGGGATAATTGAAAGAACAGTATAGTTTACTTAACTTTAATATCCGAATGGTTTCGTTTTGTGTTAGCAGAACTTAGCCAGGATAAATATTTTAGCTCAAACTTCACCTTTTGTTTCCACAGTTCAATTAGTCAAGAAAATTTTGCATCTTGTATAGGCAATCATCTGTATGAATTAAAAGCTGAACTAAAAGTTTCAGGATTAACAAATTTTCGATAGAAAATATTTCTTCGCCAAATTTTTGCTTGGTACATCACTACCACCTCAGCGCAGTTTTGTGACTTAAAATGTCGTTTATAGAATCCATATATGTGCCCAAAGCGATAATAATCTAACTAATGTTTAAAAAAGCTTTCTAAAATTTGATTAAAGCGTTTTTAGTACACATTTAGTCTCAGTTTCAACGAGATCAAATTCCAATCCAATTGATTTTGTGTTCATGGCTATCATTTTGTTGTCTGTTAAGACACAAGATCTTGCGTGCTTTTTAATAATTTATAGCTTATTGGTCCACACTGTTCAGAGGTTTTCATATTCTAAACACTATATTACCCTTTAAATCATAAATCGATCTAAGTTAGACCACTTAAACCTGAAAGCACTGGACAGGCGTTCTGCACTACTATAGGACTCCTCAGCAGTGTGCATTCACGATCACGGATCCTGGAGTCGAAATCAGAACCCTCAGTCTTGCGAGCAGACGCTCAACCTCTAGATTACTGACTCAAAACCAAACAGTTTATAAGTCTAACAGTGTTAATGTCTGAGTTCGGTCAGTCCACGACATTGCGCTCGTTTTTCTACCATTGTCTTTGGTAGGTGACTACCTCACACCCCACAGGGATTACAGGCTCTCATTAGAAATCTGGAAACTTCCTCAGGAAGCTAGTCTCTAGTGAGTACATAATAATTGTTAGCATGGAAACAAAACGGCCTTCAATAGCTTCCAGGTTCTCAATATTGGTCTAACTTAGATTGGTTCATGATTTCAATGAAATGCAAACGATCTCCATAAATCCATACCGAATGCTAAAATATTCTTTATATTATTGTGCTTTGGAGTGGCCGAACTCATAAGGTGCTTATTATTTTCAAAGGATCATCTAATGCGTCTGGTTTGTAATTATTCCCTCTTGTTTATGACTTTATAAAGTATCAAAGATTAAGTTTTTCAAACCAATATATTTTTTCATGGTGTAATTAAATTACTAAGCATTATTAAGTGAGTCATGCTAAGTATAGACTTAGACTTATTAGTTTAGCTTCAAAATGTCTTTTGTTTCATTATTTTAAATTATATCCTACTTCTGTCTGGGCACCCGGGCGGTATCATAGCCCTCACACAAATGAGGCTTATGTGGCACATATGTATCTGGTGCCCCCTTGTACCAGTATTTGTGTTCAAATAAATAATATCCTGTAAACTGCTGAATTGATAAAAGGAAATTTTATAAGTTTGTGTGCAGTTGTTCATTTCAGGATAAAATATTGAAAGTATTCCTGTCTTTTTTTATTGCCTGTAAAAGTGTTAAGAATGTACTCTATTTTGAACGCAGACCAAAACAAGAGCGAGGACAAATGGCTAGTAAAGATGGCTATTTATCTGTGTCCATGGCAGATCTGCACAACCCACATCTCAGTTATCCAATAGTTAGCCCCAATCGTTCTGGGAAATTTTATCGTGGTGAATGTATTCTTATCAATCAACGAGATTTTCACCCTTCAACTAATCAATCAAGACGTGATGGTACAGATGTTGATGCTGATCGTGTTGAGAGAGTTTTCAAGAGCTTAAATTATAAAGTAACGCGCATCCTCAACATTACAAAAAGCGTACTTCATCAGACTCTTCTGGAAGGTGAGCGTTAAAATGTTCATCGGGGATGATTTATTTATGGTCGATTTTGTTTATCGAAATTTTATTTCTGTACATATTATTCTCTCAATATTCAAACTTGAAACAGTCCGTCTCCAAGTTAGTTCGAATCGATTGTTTATTTTATGCCAATTGCATTAGCAATTTTGTTGCAGTCTGAAAGCGACACGTTTCCATATATCCGTTACCGTATAAATCTTTACCAATTTCATCAGTAATTGTCTTTATTACTATCTAATTATCGTTAGGTTTAAGAAAATTGTTTCTAAAAAATACTGTTTTCGATTTTACGGATCATTTAAGGTTACCACTAACGGCCTGTTATTTAGTCTTGTGAATACTGGGGAGTGTCACTTAATTTCCAACGTCTTGTTGCTCTTAGTTTTACAGCATTAATACTTCCTATCTCGAAGGAAATGTACCTGGAGGTTTTCTAACTTATTTTTTTGGTAGTTTCTAGTCTCAATTATATTCATTGTTAATTTTTCAAATAAATATCTAGTTGTTTTTTTATACAATTAATGCTTGATTAGGTTGACTATAAATAATATGTGTTGGAATAGGAAATCTAAATTTTCTTGAAACACCGGTATTTATTTAAAAAAAATACATTGTACATTCTTCTTTATGGATACACTTTTGGAGTTTTACTTTTTTATTGTGTTATTATTGAAAAACGTTCACATTTCTTCACTAACAGAGAGGTGACTTATCAACACAGCTTCATGATCAAGTTCACTCTATTATGTTTGATTCGTATAATGTCGTTGTATTTATAGTGCCAGAGTCTATTTATTTACTGAATCATATACTGAACATATATCACTTATCAATATGTCCATCAAATATTTCAGTATTTCAAACAACTGATTTTGTATAGTTTGATAACATTATCAAAAATATTTTCGCAGATGACTAAATTTTGGATTATAAAACTATTTAGTTTGATTACATGCAACCAATGTTTATTTGATGTATTTAATGAATCATTTAAAACTAAAAAAAATGCTAACTATATTTGTTGCTTATTGTTCCATGATAAAATATACTGTAGGTTGTAATTCGTTTTCAGTAATTACTATTATTTGTAACGCATGTCGAATCGCAGCTGGAATTTTTGTTAGTCAGGTAATTTAAGTTAATTAGACAATTAAATGAGAAAGATTTGTAACCTCATATAGTATTACATGAAATGTAATGAAATACAACGATAGCAAGAAAAATGAAAACAGTTATTTATGTTTTGTGAATTAGTACAATGTCAACTGATATGACCATAAAAATTAATATTTAAAACAAGATGTAATGGGTGGCAAGTAATATTGAGAAACGCACGACACAAGGTAAATGACGAGTGTCATACTGAAATAAAAACCAATGTTTCACTAAACAGATATCGCAGTTGATTAAGACATGATTTTAAACTTTATCCCTTCCTAATATTAATGGATATGTTGTTTTAGCATTTCACTAAAGCCAAGGCAGTAGACACAATTATATTAGTTGAAACGATTTATCTTTTACACCAGTTGAATAGGGTCACCTGAATACTATCTTGCAAGACATTGGTGTCTGCTTGACAAATATGCGTGAAGGACTTCTTTAAACTCTCTTACTTATTAATTTTACGTAGAAAATTTCCACTCGATTTCCTACATCAAATTAGTTTACTCGTAATTATAATAAGAGTTAACAAAGTATCCTATGCTATACCAAGTGGTAAATTCATGTTTATGCATCAATCGTTTCCAATAGTTTCTACATAATACCATATACAGAAATAGTTTATTATATGAAAAAAAAATTTGACGAATTATTGATAACAATAATAATCATAATATTTGTAACTATTTTCTCGGAATTATTTCAGCGTATGAAATTTAAGCATACACCGTTGTTTATCTAGTCAATTTTTATTTCAATTTAAACAATGAACTTTCTATTCTTAGTGTATTCTTTTCCAATGTATTTCATTTAATAACAATAGCTTAGAATTTATATACCATGAATTTCGTTTGCTATTTTATAAACTCTTCTCATAAAAGCTTTTATATGTCAGTTATTTGTTATACTGGCTTAAATTCATCAAAGACCATATGTTTGCGTATTTACCTTTTCAGTATTAAACAAAAGAATTTACTTTGTAGATTCTATTAAGGACCATAGATTACTTATTCCATTGTTAGGGTCTTAAAATCTCCAACTGTGTGGCATGCAAATATACCATACAACTACCTGTGAGATTTTGTATTTTCGTAAAATAGTTGATTTTTACTTGCGAGAAGTTGTTTTTTTCGGAGTCATTCATACTTGTCTCAGTTGGATACCATTAATCACTAGGGTTTATCAACCAGCCGTTTCTTCCTAGTATGAAACTTCTCAGCAGTACTCACCGTCGACTGCCCGCCTAGAGATTGTCAACTCAGTCATCGGAAGGCTAGGAATTCACCGTGAAATCTGAAACTACTTGATCTAGACTGAGCCAATCTTCTCACATATTCGACAATTTCCTTTTTGCTTTTATTCAGTTAAAATTGTCTTGTGATATGTTTGATAATGTCCCTAATCGTTTTATGAAGAGATTTTTACGCAAATTGTTAAAAATACAACCTTGTCCTTCTTCATACTGTTATCTCTCTTATTTCATTCGTTTCAGCCTCTCAAACAGATCATTCATCATATGATAGTTTTATTTTTGTCATGTTATCACATGGAGACAATAATATAGTATATGCAAATGATGGTGAAGTCCTAACAAGTTATATTATGGCTTTTTTTCGTGGTGATCGGTGTCCTTCCTTGATTGCAAAACCGAAGTTATTCTTTTTCCAGGTTAGTTGGATTGAAAGTGTATGATTAACTGCAGTGTTTCCTTTCCTCGAGTTTCCGTTGTCATTGAGTTTGTAGCTCCTTCTTTCCTCTCAATATATTTGATACTTTGACACGTATAGTCTGTTCAGTATATACTCAAAATGAGGTCATAAAACTTCGTTTTACGAAGTGTAGAGTAGACCAATCGGATCCCCTTCAAAGTGTTCCCTGTCTTCCGCAATGCACTTGTCCCTTTTACCGTTATCATTCAGTCAGTCAGTCAGTAACAACGTAGAACTTCGTACGTACGTACATCAGTTCGAGTTGCCACACCACCTTAGCACAGAGATGCAGTTGTCTATTCAAATCCCGTAGTGGTAGAGGTAATAAGAGTATAAGCAGTAATCGGGAAGATTAGGGCTTGGAGATGTTTTTTAAAGAGTATAATCCAGTGAAATAAATTTGGAAAGAGGAAAAAAGGGACATGAAGAATTCAGAAGATTAAAATTTGGGAGAACACAGAGAGTGGATGCACCTGCGCCATTGCAAACGATTTTGAGCCATGTCATTCAGGGTCTCTAACCATCGGTTGCTATCATCTCACGGTCCCCAACCAGGTAATCTACACCTACCAACATGACTCAGTTCACTTGTCAGTGACTTCATGGACTTGTGCCATGTTTTAGTTTGGCCGCCCCTAGCTTTCTTCCAACCTACTCCTATACCACTGAACATAGCACATCGAGGCAGTCGGTCGTTGGGCATACGTAACACGTGTCCCAGCCATCTCAACTGATGAAGTTTCACTACTTCATCAATTGATTTGCCATCCTTACCTAGTACCCGTTTCCTAACAACTGTGTTACTTACTCGATGGTCCCATGATATACGAGCAATGTTTTGAAGACACCTATGATCAAATACTAGTAGCTTACGGATATCCTCTACTCTTACCGGCCATGTTTCACTGCCATAAAGTAGGACGGAACGAACTGCTGCGCAGTAAACACGTCTTTTGGTTGATAGACGGATATCTCGCCTACGCCATAAATGACGCAAGTTGGCAAAAGCTAGTCGAGCCTTCTGTATCCGTGCTGAGATTTCGTCACACACTAAACCACAAGGGCTGATGAGACTTCCAAGATAAGTGAAGCGGTCGACACACTCAACTACTTCACTCCCTATCACTAGTTCGGGTGTCGATGTAACCTAATCCTGAAGCAACATTTTGCATTTTGAGGGAGAGAATCGCATCCCGAACATGCTTGCATGTTGCTTCACAGTCTCCTATTTAACCGTGATCGTATGCTTTGACATTTCCTCTAAACTCAATTCACCAGTAGTCACTCGCATAGTGAAATAGACTGTCGGGAGTAACAAGAGACCACACAAGTTAAATTTTTCCATCAACACAGAAGCTCAACAATACACCTAGCCTTTTGGTCTCTACAGCCCTTTCTGAAAACCTTGGACCGATTGAAAACTTTTTACAGTAAATTATCTTTACAAACAATCCTCAGCATTTCATGAATTTTCTCCATGTTTCTCCAAGACTTTGATATTCAGTCGTCTCATATTCACCGGATAGATTCTATATCCATTCAGTTTAAATTATTTCCACAACCTGTTTATGCAGCTCCAGTTCACTGGTTCATATGTCTGGCTATGTGTTTATAAATTCTAACTCAATTATACCTTCGTAAGCTTAAGCGACTCTAGAATTCATAATAAAATTTAGGTTCAATACCTAATGCACGGGTTTGTATTTTATTAATGAATTAAATTGATTTGTAAGTCAGTCGATAAAGTTGTTCATCTTCATAGGTTAATGTGCATACTATGAAGATCAAGTAAAAACTTAGCTTATTATTCGACTTAGAAATAGTCAAAAGGGAAGAATGATCAGATAAGTCAAAAATAATGTGAACCACGTGTTTATTAAGATGTAACCGGTTGGGATCTTTAATAAAAATCAAAGTATTAGGAACTGCCTTGATTTTCACTCAATAAAAACACACACATTCTGTTAGATCCCGATAAACAATGAATGGTAACTTTGGGATCCTTTTATAGAGCAATACTAAACGTATATTTTTATCGTATAATTGTTAAATAACTAAACTATTCATATTCCTCTTATTATAAACTTTATTTTGACCTATGAACCATTATTATACGTTTTACCATTCTTAAATTATGCCTTCTCGATTAATTACTACCTCCCACATTCACAGCCACATTTGGCCAAATTTTGTACAAATGTTATTTTCTATTTTATGATACGTTGTGGTCTGTTTGATTAGTATATAAACTCAGTATGTTTGAAATATAAAGACTCATATTGCAGAGGCTGAGACTGGTATTCTTTACTTAACTGGCTGGGCTAGGCGGAAAGAAGGACCAATCAGGACTCTAGGCTGCTCGCACGTGTTTTACGCGTCCTTGGTCCGATCGATAATTCTCTGCTTCTGATTGGCGGCTTTGGGCTATAACACATTCATACATGTCTTCCTTCTCGTTACTGCCTTACTCCCCAATATACTTCCTCATCGCTTACTTGTGAATTTCATTAATTACTAACAATACGCGTTTGCTTAACTGGTATTGTAGCATCTAAATATTCCTAAGTGAATTCATAGCGATGCTAAGAGAATTAGTCTTCTAAGAAATACATTGTTAACGGGTCATCATGGTTCGGTTTCGAAATTGAGGAAGTAACTTCTACAACTATACGTTAAATAATTCAAAGTCAATGTCATTTCCACAAATGCATCCACTGTTGTTATAAATATCTTTATCATTCTGTGATTTTATGATTTTGCATTCAGATTTCTAACTGTTCTTTTTCTACTGATCAATTTACTGCTGTATCATTGTTGCCACTTTTGATTTTCCTCATATTAGCCTACATCTTTTTTATTGTGCTAATGTTCGAAGTGTTTTATCCTAAATTTATCCTATTTCAATACGTTATTTGCATTCCTTTGTTTGCACTTCACAAACACAGAATCTTTTAAATAAAACCAGAACAAATATTGATGCAGAATAATAGGAATTCATTATATTTCGCGCACGTAAAATCTGCCTGGAAGAAGAAATCGCTCTAATCACTAATTGCCTACGTGAAAATACATATCCGGCGAAATTCATCCATAAATATGCAATTACCAACCCTCGGTTAAAGCATGATACGGTGGAAAAGAAAACTTGCTCTTTATACTTACGCTTCAAAGGAGATGAACTTACTGGAATAATTAGTCATTGAATAAATTCCACGTTGAAAGTGACCTACCCAGCAGCAAAACTGACGACGGTATGGGAAACGAACTGCTCACTCAAACAAACTAAAATCGACAAGTCCTCTTTTCTCAGTAGCTCCAACTGCATTTACCAGTTCACATGTACGTGCCAAAGCACATACATTGGGAGAACTGAGAGAGGGGTACATGTTCGCATTTCTGAGCTTGTTTCAAAGAATTTGAGACTGCGAGGGACTAGGGATCTCAACAGTGCAATAGCTCGGCATTTACTTGACACCGGGCATACCATCGACATTCTTCATGCTTTTAAAATTATTAGCAGACAAAGAATTACAGCTGCTCTCCGTTTTGTTGAAGCGATCGTGGCAAAAAAAACTTAAACCGGATTTATGTATTCAAAAAGACAGTAATAAACTTATTATTACCCTGGTAATCCTATTTTTTGTTTTTGGTTATTAGTGTTATTTTATTTACTTATTTTTTAAAATATTTAGTTTGTGTTATATTCCTCTCCCATTACCGAATTCTTAAACCACCCTCTCATTCACACATTTCCCCTCACTTGATCCTCTTAAATTATGTGAACCCTTCAAATTCTACTCGATTATTACGTGACCCATCTCATCAGTTTTTAATTCCATGAATCCTTCATTACCTCTAAAATTACCATACAATTTATCTTATCTGTCTCTGAACTCCACTCAACTATTATAGCACCCATCCTTAATGTTTCCTTGATTCTAATACCAAATAACCTCTGACCTGTCCTTGCATATATATATATATATGTATATATATATATATATATATATATATATATATATATATATGTATATAGTTATTATTGATAACTTTTGTCATCCCAATTATTTACATTCAATTCAATTGTTTCATACTATTTGTTACCTCCATGTTAAATTCTAATACATATTTGACTGTAAGCAGCTGATGAGAAACCACGAAATATAATGAATTCATATTATTCTGCATCTGTATTTGTTCTAGCTTTATTTAAATTCATAAAGGGAACTAGTTGCATGACAGAATCTTTTATTGATGAGTTTAGAATATCAACATAGTTACATACAGCATGCTTAATACTTTCTGTTTATTCCTTTTACATTCCTGACCGAAGCTTCAAAGCATCAAACCATCATAATCTAAATTATTTACTAAGTACACCTCAAATGAATATATATATATATATATATATATATATATATATATATATATATATATATATATATATATATGCTGATGTTTCACATTACCATTAACAAGTTAGTAAATCACAAAACCCCATAACATCAGTCAACAATGCTTTATTTTATACATTAGACATCATAAACTTATAAAATGATCATTTAAATAGAATAAATTATATACTATTGAATAAGTCATATGAATGTATTCAATAAAAACTAAGTAGATTTAAAGTACATTAAACGTTAATTATATTGCATATTAGTACTTATCATCACATTACTTGCACTAGTTGTAAAGTTAGTGCGGTCATCGAATTCAATAATAAAGCTATTTCCCTTGACTTTTTTTAAAACCTATTCTTCGATCATTCAACAAAATACTATGTTTTTACTGCTACTGTTAGTTGGGTAATTAATATCATATTGTATATTGTTCATTGTTGATTAAATTCTATTGAGTAAATTTGCAATTCCAATGTTAAATAGTTTATCATTACAATTCTATTCTACGTGATATCAAATAACAGAAGGTAATAGAAAGAATACTGTGAACTAACGCCTTTCCAATAATTTTTTCCGCCCGAATTCATATCCATTATGTAAACCTATACTGTTGGGTAGAAAAAAGAACTTAACAACAACTTGACATTATCTGTATTATTCATGGTCTTACTGCTTATCCTTAGGAACAAGGACCAGTGTAATTCTCCCGATACAAAGATTAGTACACTAAAGGTTTATCGACTCTTCATCATCATCATTAGACCAAGATAAATTCATCTACAGACTGGTTTTCTGCACATACTTGATAGCATCACATATATGAGAAAATGGATAGAGTATACTTCCAGTTTCTCATAGATATGATTAGTATAAGTGGCTAAATAGTAAAGCTCAAAATTGCAACCCATTGAACAGTGTGGTAAACGTGTTTCTGCCACGGATTTTGGTTCATGTTGCCATGTGGCTTGAATAATTTGTCCTATTTTTGAACTAATCCTTCCGAATCGTCCAACTAACTTTCCCGTTTTTATTTAGTTAAATGTGTATATAAAAGGTAATTTTGCTAAACAATAATTCTCTGTAGTTAAAGGCTATGCTTGCGGTACAGACGAAGCAATAGTACTAATTATTCGTATTTTGCCCTGAAATCCGTCCATCATTGTGTTAATATGTTGCTATAAAAGTTATTCGAATAACTCGACTACCCTTATAACTTTTACTGCATATGTTTTGCGCTTATCTAACTAGCTACCGTAAAATATCTTATTAGAAAGAATTTATTAAATCGAGAGGAAATGTCATGGTGGACAGCATCGTATCTCGTCACATACACCGAGTAATAATGTGTTAGAATAGAGAAAATGTTTCAGCTATTTTAAATCAATGTTTTGATATTTTGAAATATTTACATATCATTTTTTGAAGGCTTGTCGAGGTGCTGCATTTGATAAAGGTGTTTCCACTATGGTAACAGATGCAGGTGAAGATTTAATTGTGCACAAGTTGCCGATAGAAGCAGATATACTAGTTGCATACTCCACAGTACCAGGTATGTCTCCATAAATTTGTTCGTTATGATTTCTTTAAGTCATATAAATTACCAAATGTTTCTACGTATTGGGAGCCTGTTGGAATAACTTACTTTCTTAACAAGTATGTACAAGTCAGTGAATACCCAAATTGATTTCATAATATGTTAGGGTTTGTAGCAAACTGCTGTGTTCGAGTCACAATTTGAAAATCAACACAAGGATGGAGGTGCATTCAGCTAATGAGTCCTATGTAAGACAAAACGCGCCTACTGTATCCCACTGCTAGCCATAATCTATCTTCACTAAATGCTTTTTAAGAAATTTATTTTTTATGTTAGTAAAGCAAGCCATTTTCGTCTCTTGACTTTTTTTTATAAACATCTTTAGGTGTTAATTAAAATGACCCATTATATTGTTATAGGCAAACGGTATTGTTAGTTTATTTGTTGTTTATTATTATCACTTCAAATGATAATTAAGGTGTATCGCCAGTAGGACTTATTTATCTCGACGGTTACTTCTCACCTGCCTGGATTACCAGTCCTCAGCTATACCTCAGTAGTAAAACCCTAAGGTTGTTTAACTTTTAATTAAGGACAAGTTGCAATTTTTTCTTTGGTTGTCGCTCTAATTCATTAACCTTCAAATGATTATTGAGGTATATTTTGTTTCGCTTTAATATGTTTCTGGGAGTAGGGAAGTTTTTTATTCCTACTAGTAATATAAACTTTTATTTCAAGTCCAAAAGATTAAATAAATGCAGGTTCCATGAATATATTGTGTAACTTGATAGCAAACAACAAATAACTGAAAGATCACTTGAGATCGATGGAATACTATGAAGTTGTTTTACCATTTAAGCGAATGCGCATCGTAACAACGTACACCTATAATCTTACAAGCGATTGCTTAAGTTATTTGCTTGTACCTTATGTGCTCGCTCCCAAACTGGAAAGTCCTGGGCTAGTAAATTTTTATTTAATCAATCCTTCAATTATTATCATATTTACATCAGCCTATCATGTTTTTTTAAAGGTGTTCAAATAGTATCTATGAGCTAAACATATTAACTCAATTATAAAAAACGTAGTAGTTTTCACCAAATTTCCAACAAAATAATTAAAATAACCCAAATTTTATGTTTCGGTATTTTAGGTTTTTTTGCTTGGCGTAACTCCTCTTCAGGCAGTTGGTTTATTCAAGAACTATGTAATGCACTTGAATCCGATATGAAAAGTGCGAATCATTCAGATATTATGTCTCTTCTCACAGTAGTTGCCCGTGTAGTAGCCTATCAATATCGATCGAATACAGGTCAAATTGAGACGGATAATATGAAACAAATGACAAGTAGTGTTAGTACTTTAACACGATTATTTTACATAAATGGACCACCATCATGAAAAAAGCTGAAGGTTCGCAGTAATTTAAGAAATAGACTTCAGGAAAATTAACATATCTTTCATGAAAAATAAACGCTCGTCTATACTTTCTAACAAAATCTAAAAGTTGCACGATTGTTTTTTATTCTTATCACACGCATATTCACATTGGAACTTTTATTTCTTTAATGATTGTATCTGAAAACCATTTTTAGAAGCATTAGTGCACAGCGCTTTTTTCAATTAAATCAATAACTTTAAGACGAATCACAATCCCATGTGCTGTGTCTTTTATTACTCCTAGTTGTTGTCTGCAGACCGACTTCTTTAATGTTCAAATTGTTTAAAATTTCAGTAAGTTTCCCTTTCCCCCTGCCAAAAAACTACATCACTTTTAGATATAGTCAATGTGCGGATTATGTGGAAGTTTATATCTTGGAAAACTTGCTCTATCTAACCAGCTATATATATATATATATATATATATATATATATATATAAACAGAATTTCACCCTACAAAAATCAACATTAAAGGTTCTAAGTGGCTATTATTAATAAAACTAATCGCCAGTTTATCGATAGACGCTTTCCTTCCGACATTCTCTTCCTTTCTAATCGGTGTTAACAATTTTTAGCAAGACGACAAAGGCTAACTGTCCTGAGGTCGTTTTATAAAATGATTAATTAGAATGAGTGTTGACAATCCACCCATTAGTTACCATGACTTGGACGTCCGACAGTGTTGTAAGCGATTTCGATGACAATACAATGGTTAGCGGATTATATAGAGCATAGATAATCGCTGAGAGCATGTTCTTGTCAATATGGCATTTTTATTTATAATGAGACTATCTACACTAGTGTTTCGCTGTGAATTATTCTTGAAGTAGAAAACCTACAAGAAATGATTTCCCTTGCCAATTTATTCCAAGCTACTTCAAAGCAGATAGTAGTGTTTTGTTTGAATTGTGTGTATATCAATAATGGGAAAGATTATGTAAATGTTTTTCAATATGTATGCAGTGTCGAGTATTTTCCCGTTCATTTATTAAGTACTACACATAAAAGTATTATTTCCACGTAGCAGAGCACTACTAAAATTTCGTTAATTTAGATATACGTCCATTCTAAATAAATTTAAAGGAATCATTTAAGGTTCTAAATGGCTGATGTTGATGTAAAGTTTTATGGCTGTATATTTGCACACAATTCAAATTGACTTGTAATTTGGAAAAAATCTGGACAAGCGGCGAAGTAGAGTGTATCATCCCATTTAGCTGAGTTCACAAACGTTAAAGCCACTCAATCGCTATAAAATAATTCTACTTAGTGGAACCGAATAATAGATACTACGATGAGTAAGCACAAAAAATGCTGCATTATTATGCTAATTGGTACTATATCTTCTACACTTGGATTTCCGTTTGTTACATCCCAACAGGGGAATTCTTTCGCTTTTATACGTTGTATTTAGGTGTTCATCCTCATATGAAACGTAGAGTATGTTGCCTCAGTGCATGCCTTATAAGATACCTTTTTATAGGAAAGTATAAAATAATTTTGATGAAGTGGCATGCTAAGAGGAATTAAATGAAGGCAACACGTTGCTGATAGCAGATATCGGATCAATGAATATTCTGTTCTAGATCCAATGAACTGTAACCAAATATGACAAGGGAGCTTTTTTGTTGGAGTTTTGTTCTCTGAGCTCCAGCTCAGAGAACAAAACTCCACCAAAATCATCTACCTGAGCTACAAATCTTCTCCACCATGACAAGGGAGCGGCAAAATTATTATGATCAGTTTGTATGCCTCACGCAAATTTGAATACGAAAATGACTAATTGAATACGATTAAATACTTAAAGCCAATTAGCTGCATTGTTCTATATTTGATCCAGTCACTAACCAACTGCTCATAATGTTAAAAAAACATCGAAAATTAGTTATGAACAACGGTTCGGTGCTTCGTCTTCCACATTTTTGGTTGGCTATCGATGTTGGCTGGCCATCTGTGTTACCCCTTTCGTCTCAGAATATAAAGATAATCAATATTATGTAATAAGCAAATGAATAGTGTTATAACCAAACGAAGAATAAATGAGTGGCAACGGCTAGGGTAAACTACATTATGTGTATATTCATATTCCTTTTATTGTAAGTTTCCATTTGACTGACCTATTGACTACTACTATACAATTTACTGTTCTTAAGTTATTCCCAATTTATTAGTTAGTCTCTTACAATCACAACCAATTTTGGACATGATCTTGTATAATTGTTATTTTATGGTATGATGTGGTCTGGTTTTCCTGTCTGAAATATATGATTCATACAGCGGAATCTGACATTGGTGTTCTGGACTCAACAGGCAGGTTCAGACGAGAAGGACTAGGCTGTTTGTACTAGCATAATGCGTTATTGGTCAAGGCCACACACGTATTCTATCTGACGATATTACCACGTGATAGACTGAGAGGGCCAGAAGACATAACATGTAGTAATGATTGCATCATTCAGAAAAACGTAAATCATATGACAAGTAATTTTGATGTGATAAACCGAAACAGGAAACGCTTAAAACAAGATTTGGAAAAAAACTTTTTAAGTTGAAGTAAAAGAAAATTGTAGTTTTGAGTGCAAAAATAAGCACAAAATTATATAATTCAATCATCTTTAGCTAATTTTATATCTTGTAAAACATATAAACTTGGTGAACAAACAATATCACGATGAATTAAGTCTCTGGCTTCATCTATTTTCAAGCTTAAAATGTGATTACCAAATTGACGACATGCACCAGAAATATGACGAATTAATTCATCCAATTGTAGTAAACTTTTAATTAATGAACCTTCTGGTATATCACATTTTGATATGGTTGCAGAAAATGAATAACCATTAGCCCATTTATAAACTAGTGGAACTATACGTAGATCGAGTCGACTTTCCAAATATGGGTCAGTTAAGTTATGACGTCGTTGTAATGTTTCCAGCTACAAAATAAGTTTTCGCATGTATATAATATACAATATATATAAAGAGAGCCAAAGCTAAAATGAAAACTGCAACAAGTAAGCCTTACGAGTGCCAACTAGCACGAAACCATGATACAGGATTTGGTCCCAATGATCTTATAAGCTATTACACTGTTGTATACCTTCAACTGACATCATGATTTACCACTATTCAGTAAAGTTTGCTGATGTAGGAGTTATTCGGAAGAAAGCTGAAGGTAAAAAAAACCCAAACATGGACTCAGTTTACAAAGCCGTTAACTGTTGAACTGTACTGTGTTGTTAAACTCAAATTACCTAAATGGGTTCCACGACAATTACCATAACCAGTTGTTAGTGATGTCAGATAACAGTGCTAACATGCAGGTGTATTCACGTTTGTCTTAAAATATCAGCCAGCTACAAACGTAGGACCAGGCACATATATGCATCATCAACTGAGTTACCATCATTCCCTAATACTCTGCGTATGATTCATCATTACTCACCCGGTGATAATAGCAGATGCAAGCAATATTTCTAAGACATCTTTGGTCAGATACTAGTAGCTTACGAGTATCTTCTACTCTTAATAGCCACGTTTCGCAGCCATAAAGTAAAACAGAACGAACTGCCGCACAATATACTCGTCCCTTAATTGATAGGTGAATAACTCGCATTCGCCATTGGTGTGAGTTGGCAAAAGCCAAACGAGCATTCTGAATCCGGGCCGAGAACTCGTCAGATGCCAAACCGTTAGGGCCGAACAGACTTCCAAGATAAGTGCAGTTGTCGACGCGTTCGAATACTTCACTCCCTATCCTTAGTTCAGGCGTTGCCGCAGACCAGTCCTGAAGCAACAACTTGCATTTAGAAGAGGAAACGCATCCCAAACATTCTGGCGTTGTTACTCAGTGCTACCAAAAGACTGCATTTTATCAGCGTCTTCACCAAACAGGACTATATCATCTGCGTTTTCTAAGTCGGATAAGTGGACCTCCTGGTAGGAGATCAATACACGAAAATTCAGTCGACGATAACGTTGTTGAACAAAATGGAGGTGGTGAACAACCTTGACGGAAACCACGTGAAGTTGCAAAATCAGGTGACAGTTCGCCATATTCATTAAATTATTCATTTACTTGAACACGCAAATATTGTTACAAGGGGGCACCAGATATATTTGCGCCAAACAAAACAATGAGAATGGGAAGAAAACAAGAACGTAAGTTATGTATAAGAAAAAAAATGAGAGAACAATGACGTCCACAGATTAATGTATGACAGTGTAATAATAATAGGGGAAACAGAAAGATACAATCAGAAATAATTCTTTTAGTTAAGGATGTCACAACCACTTTTTGTGAAAAAAGTAAAAGGTTACAGCAGGATCGCCATATCTGATAACGTCTCTAGCCCCTGTGTAGCACCATCTCTCGGACCCCAACCAGAGAGTCGTGAAGGACCGACACAAGCCAGTCCTTTGCAGCTTTCTTTCATACCACGACACCATGTCATATACTGACCACCTCTCCACTTTTTCCAACCAGTCCCAGAGTCGGCAAATAATGCACGATGTGGAATTCTCTGGGACGACATTCGTAGAACATGTCCAAGCCACTAAAGTCGGTGTTTGATGATGGTGACACCAATTGCATTATCGTCTCTGTGCCCGAACACACGATGCCGAACCTCTGCATTACTAACATGGTGTTGCCACTGGATGTCAGCAATCCTTCGGAGACAACGATGGTCGGACACAGAAAGTCGTCTAACGTCCTCAACCTAGGAGAGGCCAGATTTCACAAGCATAGAGCAAAACTGCTCTCACCGACGCGTTTTAGATCCGACCTTTTGCAGAGAGCCAGACATCACGAAGGCGCCAAATATGGCCGAGATGGGCATAAGCCGCTCTAGCTTTCACTATACGTGCATTGATCTCATCACTCACACCCCCACCGGCACTTATACAGCTACCTAGATACACGAACTTCTCGACTACTTCTATCTGTTCACCATCCAGAGTGAGTACAGAATTAGAATCCTGCCAGTCTTGTAGAAGTACTATGCACTTCGAAGGTGCAAAGCACATACCATACCTACGGACATTGCTTGCCAAGTGATTAAGTATGGGTTGTATGGCTTGGACATTATCGCACAGTAAGACAATATCGTCCGTATACTCAAGGTCGAGAAGTCTTTCTCCAGGCAACAGATCCACGCTGTCATTACTTACATCCATCAGAGCTGTTTCCAGAATGTCATCGATGGCAAAGTTGAAGAGGAATGGTGGGATTAGGCAACCCTTCCTAACCCCACTGCTTGAATGGAACAATAGAGAAAGATGGTTGTATGCCCTCACTCTGCCTGAGGTGTTTGTATATAAGGGCACACCCTTCTTCCATGGACAATCCCAGAGAACAGTCCTGTCCAATGAATCGAAGGCAGCCCTGATGTCAAGAAACACTACGATTGTTGGCTTTTGATAAGTATGAAGGTGCTCTAACATTTGGTGGAGGGTGAAGATATGATCAATACATCCTCGACCAGAACGAAAACTAACCTGCTCCTCGCGAGTCAATCTTCCTCTAGTTTTGAACAACCTACGAAGTATGACAGAAGCCAATAATTTGGAAGCAATCGGATGTAGACTTATCCCCTGATAGTTGTTACAGGAACGACGTGAACCGTTTTTGAAGATAGGAACAACTATCGACTCATTCCATGAAGTTGGAACACTCTCTAGCTCCCAAACATTTGTAAACAACGTTGTCAGTTATTTAACCAGAAAGTCACCACCATCTTTAAAAAGAGCCGGAGGTAAGTCATCTGGGCCCGGTGATTCGTAGCGCTTTAAGAGTTGGATGTTAGTGATTGGCATCCCGTCAACCTCAGAGATTATTTCGCTCACACCAGACTTCTTGCTGCCAGTGGCTCGGATGAGTTGGAAGAGCTTCCGGTAGTTACCAGACGCAGCTGCTGCTTCCAGCTCATTAGCACGCTCCGACCACCATGCTTCTCGGTCCTTACGCAAGCTTTGCCTAATTCCATTACGTAACAGCCTTCGTTTGTGGTCGAACTCACGGTCACCTGGAGTAAACCGACGGGCTTCAATGAGTTGTAAGGAGCCCGAGAAACCCAGTGCTTATAAGCGGGACGTTTCGCGAACCCACAACTAACTGTACCCGCCATTTTCGTGGCGTCATGCAATTGCAACCAATGCTCATCTATACTTTTCGGTGGAATGGTAGCTAGCCTAGAAGCTAGCTCGGTTCGATACTTACTAGCAACAGTAGTTGCAACCAGCTTGCTAACATCAATCCGTTGGTGGCGGTCACTTCGTTGGCCACTGAAAAGTAAGGTAAGATTGGCGCAGATCAAGGCATGGTCAGAGTCCAGATAGGTATTCCAAAAGGAGTGGTAGTCTTGTACACAACCACGCCAGTGGTAGCTGATCGCGATGTGATCAATCTGAGTCCAGGCTTGAGATGCAGTGGGAGGACGCCAGGTGGCACATCGGCGATGACTGTGCCGAAAGTTAGTGCTAGCCAGAAACAGGTTGTGGTCCGTGCACAGTTGTAGTAGACGGTCTCCGTTATTCGACCCGCGACCAACAAGTCCCCATCGGCCACCTAAACGACTCTTCTCTGCCTAGACGCCCGACCTGAGCATTCAAGTCTCCGGCTAGTACTACAATATCTGTCGAACGCACTATCTGGAGAAGAACAGATAAATGGTGGTAAAATTCATCCTTGATTGCATCCGGGCTACAATCTGTCGGGCATAGGCGGAGATGACGAAAAGACATCGTTTCGCACGCCGATTTCTTCTCACTTTGATGGAACTTTCTAATCTAACAACACATAAAGGACTGTTAATGGGGATCCAATCGATTAGTGCTGCCTCAGCTCTAGCGCTTAGTGCGACACCAACGCGAGCAAGACCAGACGAAGATGCCACAGGGTCCCCGGATAAGCGCACGTAAAACAAGCTTTTCGAAGCGACAGGTCGAGAGCGAATTTGTAGTACCTCACCATAGTCTTGAATACGAATCTCGGTTAGACATCAGACGTTGATATTAAGACTTTCCCAAGACACACCCAGTCCTATCTGTTGTTCGACCTGCATAAGTGTGCGAACGTTGAAGGAAGCCAGTTTGAATGGTGCACGTGGTTTCAGAAAATCTGCTTCAGTATTCGTATTCGATGGTGCCATTCAATTTTCGACCAGTCAGTGACTGGACAGAACGGAGTTTCCACCATAGGCGAGCTGCTGTATAAGTCGAAAAAAATAGTATAGACAGAGTAGGAATAAAAGAGGGTGAATAATGACGTAGTAAATAATAATAATAATAATAATAATTTGAATCATTTGAATGTTAGTGGAAGCAAGAAAAGTAGTTTCCGTAAATACAGATAGTTCATCATTTGTGTGTGGGCTGTGATACTGCCCGGGTGCCCAAACTGAAGCAGGTGGTATTCCTAGGGCGCCACACTCGGAGCCTTCGACCTAAAGGTCTGATCCACAAGGCAGTGGAGCATCGTGAGGAGATTCAGTCCCATGGTAGCCGGTGACCAATAATAGCTTTATGCGCCATTTGTTCCCTCAGGATACTGGACCCATGTGCAATATTGGTTTAGGATCAGGGTTCCCCTTAAGTGACTCACCGGCCCGGTTAAAGCGCCGAACATTCGCTTTTCGTGCGCTCAATTTTGTAAACAACACCCCGGCCACGAGAAGGCAGTGAGTAGGACTTCCCCGACAGAGGTTGTATACGTGTGGGCGTGTGAGCGTTTGGAGAGGGAGTGCGGGCACTCCCCACTCTCGGCCGTACTAGGGCCCTGACTCGACTAGTGTTCGAGTAAAGAGCCTTCACAAGGTTTATGTACTTCTGAAGTACGCCTTTTAATGACAGACACTGCCATAGAACCTCTCGGTTTACAGAGTCAAATGCTGCTTGCATGCTTGTGTTCTAGAACCTGACGGATGGTGAATATGTGGTCGATGCACCCACGACCAGGTCTGAAGCCAGCCTGATTTTCTCGTGTTTGCAGTTCACGAGTCTTAGTCAGACGATCGATAATTATTGACGCTAATATTTTACATGCTGTATTAGTCAAACTAATCCCTCTATGGTTGTCACTGGATGATTTTGACCCTTTCTTATATATTGGGACGATAAGTGATTGTGACCAGCCAGATGGGATTACGTCAAACTCCCAGATTTTAGCTAAAATATCAGTCAACCTAATCGCTAGAATTGAACCACCATACTTAAAGATCTCTGGAGCCAATTCATCTGAGCTAGCTGCTACGAGTACTATGTCTGAGCGTTCATAAAGCTTCCTGTAAAACTCATCTTTCACTTCATCCGGGCTGCAATCAGTGGGACCATAGGCAGAAACAACGAAAAGGCAACGATGTGTGTCCCTATCCTTCCGAGTTCTAACGGAGCTGTTGAGCCGAACAACATATAGACGACTGTTAACGGGGATCCACTCCAATAGTGCTTGTTCTGCCCTCGTACTTAGTGCTATGTCTACACCCGCCAGTTCACGAAAACTAGCCACCGCGTCGCCAGATACACGGAGAGTGCATCTCATCGACTCTCCGTTTTGACGAGTCGACGTCAAGTGAATGACCACACTGGGATCCTGTATGTGTGTTTCGGAGACACAGCATACATCTATGGTACGAGATTCTAGGACTTTAGCCCAGGATGCCTGCTGGCCGATTTGACACAGGGTGTGTACGTTGAAGGCTTCAATGTGTAGTTTGGAGCGCGGTTTCAGTAGACCTAGGACAATGTTTTACGCACTAGAATCGTCGACTATGGTGACACTTGAGGAAGAAACCAAAAGAGGAGGTTTAGTCGATGTAGAAGAAATAATATGAATTGAAGATGGAGATTGATCATGAATATAATGATCTTGAGTGTTGCTGGAGTTATGAGGGCAGTCATCACTTCCCGGTTGCTCACACCATGGAAGCGTTCTTCTGGAGGTACCTGAGAGCGTGACCGCAGTACCCAAGGGGCTACTGCTTGAGGCCGGTCACGCAAGACTTTCTTGTGAGTAATTTTCATGCTAGTTTCGTACTTTTTGGAACCGTACCGCCGGAGACGGAAATCCGTATGATAAGACGAGGTGTACATTTTTAAGGTCGACCGATTCTAACCCCACCCCTCGTTGTGGAAAGGCAGCATCGCTGTTACGCTGGTTGTCTGAAGGAAACACCTTAATGCCGTTACATCTCTGTACAGTCAGAAGTACGACTTCACCCTCAGAACTTGAGTTTGCTGCTTTCAGTGTTACCGGTCTTCAACTGACCTGTCTGACATGGTAGGACCTTGAGGAACGGTTGTTCTTGCGAGTATAGCTCGATTGGTTTATCACAATAGACAAGCCCGACCACTGCGTCAAGGTATTTTTCAAGAAACATTGTATATCTATAATGTTTTGTCCTACCACTGACTCTATAACTACTTCTCTTTCTCCGGTTCGTCTTGATAATTCAGTTTTGTCGTACTGATATGGTTTGACAACTTGGACTGATGCTCATATGTGCTCATGATTGATTAAATGAAAATTCTCACTAATTAGAAACAGTTGATTCGTACTGGACAGATGCATTAAAGTATCGTCAGCTCTCTTTTCTTTTAAAAATAATTCCTAAAATATCAAACTGAAAATTTCTAGAATCTCAGCTATATTTTTGTTGGTCTATAATTATCTGTTAGTTATGTGGCACTATCAAATTATGTAAATGAATCCACAATTACGTTAACTGTAGAACAAGAGGAAATACAGAACAATGCTCGTCTTCAGTTGTATATAAACCTAGATCATACCAACCTGTAGTTATAAATCTCTTCAGAGTCGACAAAAAACAAGGGATTCAAAACGATTGGTCCTAGCAAAACATACTGCGTCATAAAATACTAAATTGCCGGAGAGTTGTAATCATGAATATAAGCGTAAACATTACGATATATATACTATGGGATCGATTCTATCTATAAAATCCACATCTCCAACCACTAGATACGATAATCGCATTTATGAAAATCAAGTAAGTATTTACCTACATGACTCAGTCCAATGGTTTCATGAACTGACGTCACATTATGGTCTAGTCTTTCTAAACTTCTTTCAAACTACTCCGACATCAATCAACATCGCATATCGAGGTAGAAAGCGGTTAAGAATACAAAATACATACCTCGACCGCCTTAAGTCGATGAACAATTACTGCGTCGTCAAACGATTTGCCATCACTATCCAGTACTCTGCGTCTACACCCAACTTTTCACTCGGTGATCACATCGTACACGAGCAATGATTCTAAGACACTCATGGTCGAGTATTAATGTACTATGCTACTCATATCTTCTATTCTCAAAAGCCATATGTCACAGCAATAAAATAGAACAGAGTATTGTGCTGTGTGGTAAGCTCGCCCTTTGTTTGGAAGATGCATGAGGCTCAGTTCAGTGTCTGATAATTATTAGAGCTGATATTTTAGACAATATACTAGTCAAACTGATTTCTCAAATATTGTCACAAGAGGCATTTTATCCTTTCCTATAAAACGGTGATGATCAGTGATCGAAACTAGTCAAATGAGATTATGTCCAGGTCTTAGAATCTAGCTAATATATTAGCCAGTCCAATTACTTAAACTGAATCACTATCATTAAAGAACCTGCCGCTTTTCCTCGATTTAGACTCCCTATAGTTTTATCAACCACAGCAAAACTTGGAGAAATCGTTTGAGTTTCCCATTCATTCGGACTTCTCTGATGGAAGATATTACGACATTTGAACTCATATTTATTCGAGTCTGACTGAACTATATTTATGTTTCATACGTTTATAGGAATTCAACTGAGATATCGTTATGTTGTCAGTCAATTTATCTTATTCTGAAACACTGCTGAACCATTTTATCAGTTAATTGGAAAATGTGTATATGCAATTAGCTCACCTCATAGGCACGAGTTAAAACGTTTTTGAATACTAAAAGTAAATGACGAGGAATACATTCCAAATCCTTATGAAGATTAAAATTGCTTGTATAATTAGTAGTAGTAGTAGTAGTAGTAGTAGAAGCAGTACGATTTATTGAAACAATTAATTCTTCAAGATAATAGCTAGTTGTCTTTTCTGGAGTAAGATCTTGTGCTCTTAGTTCATTGGAAAACGCTGAGAGAACAGCTGCAATATCAGGGGCCAATAAATCGTCAATAAAACCGTCGAGTAAAAGTTGTGTCAATAAAACTTCCTTACTTGTTAATTCACATGCAAAGAAACCTAGGAAAAAAAAAGATATAACAATTTGTTGTCTTGTTGACCGCTGACAAATATCACTTGGCAATCCACTAATCAGAATACTGATTTGATCTATTTCGTGCTTACTATTTACTCTATAATCTAAAATCTCTGATTTGCCCAATTATAGGCCTCACCAGTACTACTAATTATGAACCGATATCTAGTTTCCTACTGGTATGTGATTCGCAAGCATCTCTCTCAATAGCTGCTCCGAGTTCAAAAGTCATCAACCAGCTTTAACTATAGTTATATTCCAAACAGACGTGGTTTATATAGACACACCCGGCCGCACAATACTATAAAATGAAAAATAACAATTATGGATAAAAAAAGCCAAAAGTGGTAGTGGATAGCGGAAACCGTAAGTGACAGACTAAACACGAATAGAAAGTCGTACGACAGTTGTTTATGGGTATATAGACAAAGTAGTCTAGTTATTTAAAAATTACGTAATAACACTGTAATATAATATTTATCGATAAATTGGTCCTGATAGTTACTATTCCTTCAATCTTCGTTCTGGTATATCAGAGTTTATTTTTTTCAACAACTAATAATAATAGTGTATGGAAAAAAGCAATGAAAATAACGAAAATACCCGGGGGGTTAATGCTAATCTTTTAGAAATATCTCCTAAAAGTACATTTCTCATATGTTTGCTTTGTTAAATAAAATCGCATATTGTTTGGTAAATGTTATGACTTTAAATTGTTGTAGTTTTCTACCCTGTGTTATCGATCGATTACAATGACACGCAAACACGTACGGACGGCCTAGAGTCTCGATTGGTCCCACTTCCCTGTCTAGCCCAGTCAGTTGAGTCCAGAACACAAGTCACAGCCTCGGGGATATGAATCACTATATTTCAAACATACTTTGTTTATATACCAGTCAAGCATACCACAGCGTACCATAAAAATAGAAAACAACATTTTGTACAATATCCAGCAAATGAACAGATATCGACCAATAGGAAATGTCCATTTAAAGTCCAAGGACACCATTGAACTTAACATGATAATTATTGGTCTATTCCTGCGCATCCACAACAGTAAAGTATCCAGAAATACAGGAATTAGTATGTCCGAATTTCCGTCCAATTCAAAGCTCTATTCGTATTTAAAATAACCAACCTATTGAATCTCCACAACCATGATAGAAAACAAAAATGTCGCAGTTGTTGGTCCTGTCTAGAGGCCGCAGAGAATCCGACTAAAGCTGAACCACAACCATGGCCAAAACCGGACGGGCCTTGGCAAAAAATATACGCTGATTTCGCCGGTCCAATACAAGGCAGAAATTACTTGGTTGTCGTCGATGCTTTCACAAAATGGCCAGAAGTATATGACATGCCGAAAACGAAATCAGAGAGTACAATAAGAATATTGTCAGGATTGTTTGCTTGTCTTGGGGTCCCAGAGATCTTAGTGACTGACAACGGTACTCAGTTTATGTCATCTGCTTTTAAACACTTTTGCGGCGAAAATGCAATATCGCATCCACAATCTCCTCCGTCCCATCCTCAGTCGAATAACCAAGCAGAAAGATTCGTGGGTACGATAAAAAGAGCTCTGTTCAAAGAAGGAAGGGAGGGTATCCCAGAACAGGTGATCAGTAAGTTCCTAACGTCTTACAGAGTTATCCCCAATCCGGCAGTAACAGAAGGAACGTCACCAGCCGACTGTATGTTCGGAAGGAAAATATGGACAGTCCTTAACAGAATGCTGCAGCCAAGTAAACCCATGAATGAGCATCGTACGGTCACTCGTAGCTTTCAGGTGGGTGAAAGGGTATTTGTCAAATCGTATCAAGATGATAGAAAGTAGGGACCAGGTGTTATAGGACGTCGGATCGGAAATGTACTGTACCTAGTCCGGAGAAATGTCGGAACGAGTATAAGACACATAAATCAAATTCAAGGGGACGGCAGAACTTTGATCACACAAAGCCGACCCCGTTTCAATCGCTCGCGGATTCATCTCGGGAGCGCGAATGTAGAAGAAATAAAAGGCCCAAGGCCAAAGCGGTACAGGCTTCGAGAGTGGTGAACAGCAAGAGGAATGCGGTAACCGAGTTTCAGGTGGACCGAAGGAAAACGTCTTACACAAGACTCTAAAGAGGGGAGGTTTGAGGACTCAAGGAAGCCCTAAGAAGCTCAGAAACAGCTGGAGATATTTCATCCCCGTTGCCACTGATTTGTCTTGGTTCTTCTTTTTCAAGTGAAAGGAAGGCTATTCCAAATAGTGTCAATTATGGTTCAAAACTTTCAGGTATTTATAGGGGGGCTATTAGTATTTGTCCAATAGGGAAGCTCCACGTAGGGATTCTGGAATATTCTTCCAAAAGATGATTGAGTGGAGCATCTTCGGCTCTCTCTGAGCTTCTTAGGGCTTCCTCGAGTTCACTCGTTGGCTGTCCTCACATAATAATTCTTTTGAAATACAATGCCTGGTAAACTGTGGAAATCTATGGATTAAATTCAGCATTTTTTCAGTGTACAGAACTTAATCCCTAATTCCTGTAGAAAAATCAAAGCAAATATAAATTTACGTGTGAATATTAATATTTCTTCTCTGTCAAATCAATATGCTATTTTTAAAAACAACTAAGTGTAAGGAAATTTATCGAAAATCTAGGTTGCACTCTGATGTTTCATCTGTCAATAAATAATACATTTTTTGAGAAAACAAAAAGTACTTAGGTTACACCTTTAGAAATTAGAGACTATCTTTAGTTTTATTTACTTATTCGTTAAAAATTTAAATAAAATTATTATGATAAAACTATTATTCAAGAATGACTCGTTTTCGTCATAGTAGGGTCTCATTTGAGATACTACTGAAAATCAGATAGCTATCTCAACTAGGATCAATCCGTAAGGAATGGAACTTACGAATTCAAAACATTCTCCACAAAACCTCTTCAAGATGTCAGTGAAGTCCTAGTGAAAAGTCGTGATTAGTGGAGTCCAAACGTGTTGGAAGTGACAGTTGTCACCATAAGTAACGGATTATCATCGCGCCATATTGTGGATTGAACAAGAAATTGTACCAACTGATGCCAATACAGTGATTCTGATGGTGAAATGTTAACTGAACGATCCCAAGGCCCTGAGTTTTGATCTTTGGCAAGTTCGTGGGTACTCAATGGAGATGCGTAGCATATTAAAACGAAACAGTTGTCCACTGTTTCCAGGTTTTCAATGGTACCTTTAGTGAGTTTAGTCTGTGACAAATAAAATCTACAAATTAAACTAACCATTACAAAAACCTTCAACCAAACCATGATTGTTTAGGCATTGCAAATATCTTACCTTTAAAACTAAGGCAATAGCTTTGTGTTGCCGAATCAATAAATCCAAGTTCTTTCAGAACACTCAAACGTCCTGTATATTCATTAGAAAGTTGTAACTGATAATTGGCTAAATTATTTTCGATACTCTTAATAGCAAATTTCCGACGAATTGTTTGATGAACAAGTTTTAAATGTTGCAGTAAATTTGGACATTTCAATAGATTTGTTGAACTGAATGCTGTTATCGTGCCGTTTGCAAGAGGAATTGTTAATTGATCATTCAGCGTGGAATATTCATCAAATAAGCAAATATCCTAATAATCAAACAAAATACAAATGGAATCACATAAAAAAAGAAATAAAATAACTAATCCTATATTGTACAAATCAGCACTTGAAAACAAGTGAAATGAATCTTACAACAACAAAATTCAGAAACCTGATTTTCATAAGCAAAACTATTGCAGACATAAAAAGTTAGTGAGATGGGCAAGAAATTAAGAATATGAAACCGAAATAATCTCTGATTTTTTAAAACTATTCAACACCCATAAAGGTTTATAACCATTTATACTCGGATACGTAGGCATGTAGAAGGTACATTTATACACTATACTTTAATTACTTCGGTTACGATTTAGGCAAGGAAAATTATTTATAAAGATCTAGACAAAAAAATACAAATTGATTCCATAACGTTTACCAGAACCCACTTAAATCCATCGCTTTTGAAACCAATCACCTACGACGTAGGACCGGGCACATATATGCATCGGTCCACGTCACCATACCTCATTAGCACAAGATGAACACAGGATTCATAGACGTACTTCATTCACTGGTTGCAATATATAAAAGAAACAATGCATCTAAGGACATAGTACAGGAAGAAAGAATTAGTTCGTAGAAAACAAGATATGAAGAGATCTTAATCTCTTAGTTTAAGGGAAGACAGAGAGTGTATACACCTACAATATTGTGATCGATTCTCAGCCATGTCACTCAGTCTCTAACGACAGTCACGCGGACCCCAACCAAGTAGTCGGCATCTACCAACATGGCTTAACCTAGAAGTTAGTGGCCCCAAGCACTGATGCCACGTTTCGGTCTGGCCGCCCCTAACTTTCTTCCAACCATCCCCAACATCGGTTACCATTGTGCGTCATGATAATTGGTGGTTGGGCCTGAGTAATACGTGGCTCAACCATTTCAGTCAATGAAGGTTCACAACCTCATCAACGCATTTACCGTCATTCCTTAATACTCTGCGTATAATTCATCATTACTCACCCGGTGATAATAGCAGATGCAAGCAATATTTCTAAGACATCTTTGGTCAGATACTAGTAGCTTACAAGTATCTTCTACTCTTAATAGCCACGTTTCGCAGCCATAAAGTAAAACAGAACGAACTGCCGCACAATATACTCGTCCCTTAATTGATAGGTGAATAACTCGCATTCGCCATTGGTGTGAGTTGGCAAAAGCCAAACGAGCATTCTGAATCCGGGCCGAGAACTTGTCAGATGCCAAACCGTTAGGGCCGAACAGACTTCCAAGATAAGTGCAGTTGTCGACGCGTTCGAATACTTCACTCCCTATCCTTAGTTCAGGAGTTGCCGCAGACCAGTCCTGAAGCAACAACTTGCATTTAGAGGAGGAAACGCATCCCAAACATTCTGGCGTTGTTACTCAGTGCTACCAAAAGACTGCATTTTATCAGCGTCTTTACCAAACAGGACTATATCATCTGTGTATTCTAAGTCGATAAATGGACCTCCTGGTAGAAAATCAATGCACGAAAATTCTGTCGATGAGAGCGTTATTTCTATCAGTATGTCTATGATGAAGTTGAACAAAATGGAGAAAGTGGACAGCCTTGACGGATACCACGTGAAGTTGCAAAATCAGATGACAGTTCACCTTATGCTATAACTTGACTAGTAGTGTTCGAGTAAAGAGCCTTCACAAGGTTTATGTACTTCTGAAGTACGCCTTTTAATGACAGACACTGCCATAGAACCTCTCGGTTTACAGAGTCAAATGCTGCTTGCATGCTTGTGTTCTAGAACCTGACGAATGGTGAATATGTGGTCGATGCAGCCACGACCAGGTCTGAAGCCAGCCTGATTTTCTCGTGTTTGCAGTTCACGAGTCTTAGTCAGACGATCGATAATTATTGACGCTAATATTTTACATGCTGTATTAGTCAAACTAATCCCTCTATGGTTGTCACTGGATGATTTTGACCCTTTCTTATATATTGGGACGATAAGTGATTGTGACCAGTTATATGGAATTCGCTTTTGATACAACAAAGCATCGTTTGATCTCGGTATTTATGAAAGTCCACAAGTAAAACCAAAGAAAAGTATGCCAGGAGCTAAACGACGTAATTCTTTAATTTTTCAATCATAATACACCATAAACAATTAAATACTGACAATCTTGCAAAATCATGTTTTCACGAATGGAATTCTGTTGTTGTGGTTCTATAAATCTAAGACAGATTTTTTAATCAAGAACTCCATAGACCGACTTATGGATATAATATACATCATTTGTAAATATTCGTACTGGAGAATCTAGAAATTTCACGTCTAAATACACAACTAACTTTCCTTCGATACACATTAGCCATATAACAATGCATCACATCACAACTGAAAATAATCATAGTTTTGCTACTGAAACTCTTTTCTAAGTAGTCAATATTCATTGGTCTTAGTTTCGCGTCTTTGTATGATGTTAAAATACGATTAACACCAACTGTGAACTGGTTACAGCTAAAAACAAAAACGAGTGGATACTTATTTGGTTTGGCGCTTACTAAAAGATCCGAAGTTTAATTTCTACAACTATTGTGAACGTTTACCATGATTCATAATAATAAACGATATGTCAGGCCATTTCCTAGTCATTTCGTGGATTATTACAATTCGATCATCAATTGGGAAAAGATAAAATGAAATGGTTAAATAAAAAGTTACATGAAGATGAAGTCAATTAGTTATAGCAAAAAGTGATAAACATCTCCGAAGTCGTCTATAAATTTACAAATATACAGTACTGAAAGATGTTAATTAAAATAATCGAGACGTCAAAGTTATTCCGTTAATCGTTTGTAATTACTAATGGATGATTACGCTGTTTCAGATGCAGATCTTTAAATGATCATTTAGGTTATGAGAACATAAGTATATTTTATTTTAAAAAAACATACTTGTCGCAGATTGTTCATTGATTCTTTCAAAATGTTCCCAATTAAGGAACCTTATTATTATTATAATTACTATTATTATTATTATTATTATTATTATTATTATTATTATTATTATTATGATTTGAACACATAGATATTGGTACAAAGAGGTACCAAATACATATGCGCTACACAAATCGCATTTTGATTTGTGTGAGGGCTGTGATACTGCCCGGGTGCCCAAACTGAAGCAGGTGGTATTCCTAGGGCGCCACACTCGGAGCCTTCGACCTAAAGGTCTGATCCACAAGGCAGTGGAGCATCGTGAGGAGATTCAGTCCCATGGTAGCCGGTGACCAATAATAGCTTTATGCGCCATTTGTTCCCTCAGGATACTGGAGCCCATGTGCACTATTGGTTTGGAATCAAGGACTTCCAACACACCTAGGTGGAGCCTTGATGTCCGTCAACTCGGTTAAAGCACCGGACATTCGCTTTTCGTTCTCTCAATTTTGTAAACAACAGCCCCGCCACGGGAAGGCAGTGAGTAGGACTTACTCGGCAGAGGCTATATACACGTGGCCATCTGAGAGCATTTCGAGAGGCAGAGAGGACTCTCCCCACACTCGGCCATACCAGGGCGATTGGGGGTAATTAATTGAGGAACTCTCTGAAAATTGAAAGCGAAAAACTTCACAAACAATGAATTCAATAAAATACAGTGACGTTAAATCATGTTACGACGATTACGTCTATTAGCGTTCCCAGATAACACAGTAAAATCTAATATTTATAAAAGAGACTTTGATACATTCAAATGTTGACAAGATACAAGTTCGTTCGTTATTATGAGGTACACGTCTACGATTCTTCTAATACGACACTATGAATAAAAGTTCGAATAGACTGGAAACACTAACCACACCAATATTTCACATGGTAATACTACATAGAGAAGGTGAGACTTTCAGAATAACTTTATATTCTGAACAGAAGTCAGGAACTGAATAGGAACAACTCCGTTTAGGCAGTAACATACAATGACCGTAGGCCATATAACATTGTTAGCGAACTAGAATTGAAAATAGTTAATCAGTTAACACTGAATGTTATTAAATAAATGTTGTGGTAGTAAAATATCACTAAGGTTGTTCTTTGAAAAAAATGAACTAATGTGTCATAACAAATATTTAGAAAACCTGAGCTATCCTTATGATATCATTTCTCTTATTACGACCGAGTTAACCTTATTGCTTAGTAGTCTTGGACACTACTTCACTCGAAGTTTTCCAAATCAGAACACGGTTGAACAGGAACGTAATTGCACCCCAGATAAAAAGGTTGGATTGAAATAGGAATCACAATAAGAGAAATGTTGGTATATTTAAAATTTTTTACATAAGATTCTCGAGTCTTCAAGTATCCACTGGCGTTGATTGGATAAGAAATAAGCAATTAATATGCCCCAACATAATCCTGCGCGGTTCATATTTTAATCTAATCTACATCCCCCTGACACCTTACCTAGTTACCATTGGTGTTTACCAATAAGCTTTATTTTATTTGAACGAATTTCGTTCATTCATGTAGCGAAATTCATTTGACAGAACAAATCAATCTATCACATGGTGATCACAATGATTTCCATTTAAATAGTATATTTCTCAGCGGAATATATGGAGAATGTGTGATGTTCATAGATCACATATCAAGCACTGACCTTCGTTGGACCCTTATTGAAAACTAGAATGCATTGTATAAGTGTTTTGCCTTAATATGAAACTTCTCATCAGTGTGTACATTTTGTGTTTCTCGAATTTCGGTGGTAGTTTAATGAACATCAGCTCATAATGTATTTTATGAATATTATAATATTTATCAGTAAACATAAAAAATAAATTTAAAGAATTTCTTAACAAAAACATCTGAGCTTTTCAATATCACACTACAACTATCAGTTTATAGACTGAACGGAAAATAAATAAAACTGTGAATCAATGACGGAAATCGATATGATACATAATTTTACACAGAAAAAGGAAAGGTTGACAGGGACAAAATTGAAAAGTATGGATTTTAAAGGAAATAATTCAGTGAATTAATTACTTAAAG